ATCAACATTGATGTTGTGATCTTACACGTGATCTCCAGCTAGGTTAGAGAGCCAAGGTCTTACTCATTGAGCCACCGTGGCTCCTTATTCTGGATGTAAATGAAATGAAATGGGGTTTAACGTCCTACTGTTCTGCTCCTATACTGGGCTAATTAAAACGGGCATACGCCATACAGTGTGCTATGAGGGAAATTTTGCCCGGGCAGCGCCACTATCGCCACTATCGAATTCCAACTGCCAAGGGATCTTTTACGTGCATTCCAATGTATACACGAGACCTCGGTTTTTCGTCTCATCCAAAGGACTAGACAGCTGTCCTTGTCAGGCCCTCCGTCCTGCATGAACTTTCTCGGCCAATGCAGGGATCGAACACCCGACCTCCATGCTAGCTATTCTGGATGTACTTATATTCATACTTTAAATATATATAAACACGTATATATGAGCCAGTTACATTTTATTTCAATTCTCTAGGTCAACATGGATTTAATTACCATGGTTCTCTAATTAAAACATCAGACATATCACAAATTACAAGTAACCATTGAGAGAGAGAGAGAGAGAGGGGGGGGGGTAACTTCCACTTGACACAAACCTTGTTATTTCGATTTCGGGACTAACATATGGTTCAATTTTATTTCAATAATTCGCTTGCGGGCAGGGGTCTTTAGCAGTGGGAGGAAACCGGAAGTTCTGGAGAAAACCACAAGGTTGGACAGGCGACTCTATTCATTGTACTCCATCTTTAGAAACCTCAAATAAGTCTCTAACCCCATAAATAGAAACGTTTAACGTCCTACTTTTCTGCACCGACTGGGTTAATAAAGACAATGATCCTTTTACGTGCACGCCAAAGTGTGCAAGTGATCTAGGTTTTTCGGACCATCGGAACGACTAGACAGCTGTTCTTGCCAGGAACTTCGTACTGCACCCACTGACAAGTGGAACCTTTCCCGAGAAATATTCTGATTGTGCCTTCTGGGGTCTTATAACATACATTAATAGCCAATGAAACTGCTTTGGAGCTTCATACAGATGCAATTTTAGGTTCACACGTACGCCAGTCGGAAAGATGCTTTAATTTGTAGAGTGGGGTTGGGTGGGGGGTGTCTGTTAGCGTACCGAACTGTCAACACAGATTTCCGGGGAGCAGCGGTGTATCAGTGACTCGCTAACCTGGTTCCCGCTTGTGGGTAATGCAGAACGCAGCGCCTGGCAAGGGGCAACGTATAATCGTTCGATCGTTCAGATGGGAAGAAATCCCGAGGACCATGTACACAATGGAGTGCACGAAAAAAAAACCCTTCACAGTTGGAATTCCCAATAAAAGTAGGTCGCAATGCCGCTGTCCGGGCAAAATTTCCCGAGGAGCACACTACAGCGCGTATACCCGTCTTCATTAGCCCAGTCGGAACAGAATTAACAGTAGGACGTTAAATCCCATTTGATTTAATTTTCATTTTTTTTTATCATTAAACATACATTATGACGTCACATTAATAATGACGTCATTGTATTAATCATATTAAACATACATTATGCAAGAGGTAAATCTGTCTATTGCAGGTCTTTCTTTAGGCCTGGAATGTTATATAAACTATTAATTAGACATTAATTAACTTATCCAGACCATAATCAACTCTCGATGCCATCTTTATTATGTGTTGGATTTTCACTGGAATTGAATTCGATCTGCTACGCTCATTGATGATTAAATCCAAAAGTGGATAATCGAGACTATGTTTTTATCGTACCGACTTTAGTAATGATGATCGAGACTAGGCCTAAATTTCAAGGGCTAATATCTCGGTTGAGAGTGGAGCAATTTGACTAAAATTTTCAGCATGTTCCCTTTACATTATCTAGTTTTTCACTATTATAGTGAGAACTGCCAGCTCTTTATCTAATCTCCCATAATCAAAAACACACTTTTATGGAATAACAATTACATCCAATGGAATGCAAGGAGAATGAGCATGTTATAGCTACCCATGCTCACTCTCCTTGTATTCCATTGGATAGTTCGCACTGATGTTTGTATATATGTATTCATATCTTTCTCATTTTTATCTATTTGTGTAGGCTATATGCTTGATAACGACTTGTGAAATCTTGTTGAAACGTCGCAGTGAAATAAACCATATTAATTGTTATTCCATAAATAGTGTGTTATTTGATTATGTTCCAATTTCTAAAGGCCATTCAAAGAATAATCTCCCATAATGTATCTTTAATTATGTCACGCTTTGTTCAATAAAGGTTCGCGGACTAGAGTACATTTAACCGTATATTGAATGTCATCGTCACCGGCGGTGTTAGTAAAGTGCATGTTTTACACATTGGTTTCAACAGGAAATCAAATAAATTAACCCTAATTTCTTTCTTCCACTAAAACAAGTTGAGATTTACATCCACGTGTTAACGGCAATGATGTAACACGTGGGAGTGGTACGTCAAGGCGATCGGTTTGTTCTGGTTTAGCGCCTTCAGCTTTTAAATGGCACAAATAATTTTCCATTTTATCTCGCAGCTTGTGCAACATGCTTTTCATCACTAATATTATGTCATAATGTTCTGCCCGAAAAGCAACATGCTTTTTATATATTTTTTCATCCCTAATATAACGTCATCATTGAGGCTATAATTTTCAAGCTGTCCGAAATGTGTGTTTTATACTTGGCTTTCTGGTGGATGAAAGTCTTCTCCCTTGTATTTTGGTTTCGATTCCCCGGTTGTACGTGACAAGGAGTAGGGTCGCCTGTCCAACCTCGTGGATTTTCTCCGGGTCCTCCAGTTTCCTCCCACTGCTAAAGACCCCTACGCGCAAGTGAATTATTGAAATAAAATTAAACCATATGTTAGTCCCGAAATGACCCAGTTTGTGTCGAGTGGACGTTAAACCCCATTCCGCTCTCTCTCCCTTGTATTGTATTGTTTGAGAATCCGAGAATAGTATTATGTCACATTTGTTCGATATAACAAGAATGGCTAAGAATCCGAGTAGGGGCTAAGTGACAAGAACTTACAAAATAAAATGATATAAAATTTAATACGGTTTAATGTCCTACTGTTCTGCTCCTATTCTGGGCTAATTTTAAAAGACGGGCATACGCCATACAGTGTGCTATAAGGGAAATTTTGCCCGGACAGTGGCACTACGGCCTACTCTTATATCGAATTCCAACTGTCAAGGGATCTTTTACGTACACGCCAATGTATACACGGGACCCCGGTTGTTCGCTCCACCCGAACGACTAGACATTATGGCAAGGACAGGGATCCCCGCCCCCCTCGCCATGCACCCACCCACTGATATTGTTTTCTCTGTGCTCTCACGTGATCTTGTTTTTCATGAATCCTAGAGGAGCCCTGTTACCTGCAGAAGCGTCTTGTCCTATGGACACGATACGGAAGACATCAATAAACTTGAACCATTTCTCGGATCCTGTAAGTAAAAGATATTTTAAAATAGGAAAATAGGCATGGGTATTCTTTGGTGAACCTCTCATTTTAATAATCGACATCTGCTTAAAATTTAGCAGCGATTTGTACTCGAACCCAGTAGTGATATCTACCCACTATCTTTCGGCTACAGCAGCCCAGGTTCAAAACCTCTCTCCAGTTAGTTTAATTTCCCTCCAGGTAGCTAAACTTCTCTCTAGCCACCACCCCCACTCCTTAGCTAAACCTCCTTCCAGGTAGCTAAATGTCCTCTCAGGTAGCTAAACTTCTTCCAGTTAGCCAAACTTCCCTCCAGTTAGCCACACTTCCTTCGTTCCAGAAGGCTAAACGTCCGTCTAGCTAGCTAAACTTTTCTCTAGCCAGCTAAACTTACCTCCGGTTAGCTAAAGGTCCCTCTAGTTAATTAAACTTCAGTCCAGTTAGCTAAACTTCACGCCAACCCCCCCGGTTAATTAAACTCATCCCCAGTTAGCTAAACGTCCCTGTGGTTAGCTAAACGTGCTTCAAGTTAATTAAACTTCAGTCCAGCTAGACAAACTTCCCATCAACCAGCCCCCCCCCCCCCCCGGTTAGCTAAACTCATCCCCGGTTAGCTAAGCTTCCCTCCAGTCAGCCCCCCCCCACCCGTTATTTCTTCCTCCCAATTAGTTAAACTTCATTCTAATTAGCTATTAAACGTCCCTCCAGTTAGCTAAACCTCCCTCCAGTTAGCTAAACTTCCCTTCAGCTAGCTAAACGTCCCTCCAGTCAGCTAAACTTCCCATCCGTCCAGTTAGCTAAATGTCCCTTCAGCTAGCGAAACGTCCCTCCAGTCAGTTAAACTTCCCATCCATCCAGTTAGCTAAATGTCCCTTCAGCTAGCGAAACGTCCCTCCAGACAGCTAAACTTCCCATCCATCCAGTTAGCTAAATGTCGCTCCACTTTGGAAACACCCGTTACCACTTCCACTATTGGAAAGTCGGTCACCAGGATATGTACTCATTCGACTCTGTTTTTAATTCCCATTGTTTCCAAGTTCACAAATCTTCTATAATGTCTAGCTAATAATTTGTGGAAACTACCGGTCTATTGTCCGTCGAATTACAAAAAGACAAAACACTGGAACAATATCATGTCTTCATCCCTTTCATGTTGACGTCAAAACATAATTACTTCTTTGTTACCACGTAGTAAAACAATGAAACCGAAGGTCAGCACAATAAAAGAACAAAGCGATTAAGATCTTTCCTGACAATGACCCTGCGCAGATTACAACAAGTATGGGGAAATAAAAACACAAAGTTTAAATTGTCTGTCTTTTGGGGTTGGACGTTGAGAAAATCGTTAAGTCAAGTCTAATTTCTCGACTTGGATCATGTTTAACGAGTGGTATAAGCGAGTAAAACTCAACAGGCCCTCGTCGCCACAACTTAACGTGGATTTTAAAACAGGACGTGCCATAATGTACCAAATTCGTCTTAAATATGACTTGCGTTTGTCTTTTCTATTTAAGAAACAAGTGTGAACTTTGACACGGCTATTAGTACGAGACATTTTGTTGGTAGTCAGACCTCACGTTTAGCGTATCACAAAACGTAGATGTAGAAAGTTCGGCAAACCTCGCTTTATACTTAGGTAAATACACGCCACAACCGAGATAGGTATTCCTGCGCAGTTCGCTTATTGACGGTATATTTAAATTCCTTATAACGAGAGGCGGTTCAGTAGTTGAAATTCGCACACAACAGAAACACCCCTCGTCGTTGGAGAATATAGGGTGTACTAGCAGTGTTTATTAGAACAATAGTTTGAAATATTTTATGTTGTGTTTTAATCATGAACTGGTTATTATTGACTTTATTTGTGTGTTTTGTTGTTGGAATAGCCGTTGCGCAGAAAAAAAGCGACATCGAAAACCGATGTACGCCTTCTAATTGTAAACTACCAAAATGTCGCTGCCCTGGACACAGTATACCCGGGGGTTACAAACCGGAAGAGATCCCACAGATGGTCATTATTACGTTTGACGATGCTGTGAATTGGGAGAACTGGGGCTACTATTCTCGTTTATTTCCTCCTGATGGAAGCAGGGCTAACCCTAATGGATGTCCGATCGGAATGACGCTTTTCGTGTCCCACAACTTCACCGATTATTGTATGATCAAGAAGATCCACGCGCGGGGGAATGAAATAGCCGATCACAGCGTTTCCCACAGATTACCCCACGCATGGTGGGCGGAAGCTACCGATGAGGATCTTTCTGAGGAGATTTTAACGCAGAGACAGAATTTAGCGGACCTTGCTGAGATCCCTATGGAGGATTTAAAGGGCTGGAGAAGTCCTTTCTTACAACCAACAGGTGACACCATGTTTAATATTTTATACAAAAATAATTTTACATATGATGCCACGATGACATACCCTTTCCCGAGGAACGTTTATTCCCCGGTAATGTGGCCCTTCACCCTGGACTATTCTTATACCCTCGTGTGTAACATCGACCCCTGCCCTAAAAAAGCTTATCCTGGATTCTGGATTTTACCCGTGGTTGTGATGATGGACTATCGCGAGCATCTACCCTGTGCTTATGTGGATTTCTGTAAAAACGCACCAAGAAATCAGGACGAAGCTTTTCAACTTCTTTGGAAAAATTTCTTGAGGAATTACCGGACGAATCGGGCTCCATTGTACATCAATCTTCATTCTCTGTGGTTAAATGTCGATTTTAATCTGGATGCTTTGGATGACTTCATACAACGGCTGGTGACGATGGATGACGTGTACATAACAACTGTCAGTAAGGCGTTAGAATGGGTCCAGAATCCAGTACCATTGTCGCAAATCAAAGACTTCGAACCCTGGAAATGTGATTTCAAACCCAACCAAGAAGATGATGCATTCTGTTCGTTCACTTATAAACCGCGAACAACTCGTCCTCCGAACAAGCCGACCACCACCACGACCCAACGACCCAATTACGTCAACCAAGGCGGCGGAGACAATCGGAATGATCTAGGGATACCCCCAAAGGGTGGTAAAGGGAATGGACGAGGTAGCAACGACCCTAGAAACAGGAGACCCTGGTTTCTTAAGAACGACTCACCAAGAATACCCACGTCTCTTAACACATTGTTGTTTGTTTTGTGTCTCGCCGCCAAACAACTTTTATGATTTATTTCAAATGGAGATAAAATCCTTAAAAAAAAACAACTTTAAATTTATTTTTCAACACAAACTGTGAAAATATTTGGACACCACGCAAGTAGATCGGAATCCCAGAATAATCGAAATTAAAGAAAATAAATAAAAAAAAGATCTCGCTTCTTTAAGAAACTTTGAAGTGTATGTTAGGGATATTAAAAGTCGCGAAGCGGTGCACGTGTGTCAACATGGCGGTGACAGAAGTGATTTTTTAAGCGGTTGACATTTTAGCTAAGAACGTTGACGTCTGTATAATAACTGTGTTTAACTCTCTCTGTTGACCAAACAATCTCGTATGCTTTGATATTTTTCTTTTACGTAATAAAACTATTCGTTATTTTATCACTTGGAGAAAAACATCTTCTCTCTATATATATATCTTAGAAATAAAAGATGTATTATGTAAGATTTAGATAAAGAGCTGGCCTTTCTTGCTATAATAGCTCTAAAAAAAATAGATAATGTCGTCAACAAGCGACAATAATTGAAGATACATTATGTAATATTTAGATATAGAGCTGGTCGTGCTTACTATAAAAGTTTCAAAGAAAGATAATGAAAAATAAATATATTAAAAATTTCATTCAAATTACTTTATTCTGAGCGAAGTTATGACTCTTTGAATAAGAGCGTCATCTCAATTTTGCTTCTTCCTTTGTTACGATAGTAAACAAAGTCTCGATTATCCATTTTTAAATTAAATTATTAAAATGGCGATTTGATACTTGTCATGTTAATAAATATCTAAGTAATAATTTATATAAAATTTGAGGCCAGAAGAAAGATCTGGAATAAAAAGATTTATATGTTACATAATGCATCTTTAATATGATTATTCGTTATTTTATCTCGGGGAAAAGGAATACGAAACAAGTTGGGGAAAAATTGTCTTCTACCAGTAAATTCTAAAAAATATTGTTACAAAATTTTGAAACGATATACTCTCGGTTTTTTGGTTTTTTAAAATATTATCAGAAGTAATTTTAATTTGTCGATATGATTATAACCAATCGTTATTTTATCACAGGGAGAAAACAAGAAAAATATATTTTGGGAAAACGATTGCTTAAATTATTATTTTTCTTATGTTAGTAAATACTAAAGTAAAAATGTTACAAATGATTTGCGTTTTATTCAATCTGATTAAAACACAGATCCTATTTCGTTACGTTTTTTATAGTTCAAAATTTCGTTTTACTTGTTACTACACTAGGATCTGGAATAGTTATTATATAACCCGCGTTCTGGATGATGATGTGAGGGATTAGCCAATGAAACGATCTGTTACGACGAGTTTTGGGCGTGAGGTGCACGGAACTGTGGATAACCCACGAGAAACATCAACGCTGATAGGTTAACCGAATGACTGACGTCATAGGTCAAAAGCCACTCGTATGACCTCTGACGCGACCCTCCACTACAACCGGTCAGAAATATAGATCTGTATTTTAATCAGGTTGTGTTTTATTGTGTTATGTTTATTTTGATTTTGAATTCCTATATTAGTTTTAATTTGTCGTATGTCGTAACAGTCGTATGTTGTATACAATATGGTAAACAAACAAAAAATTGTGTGAAATATTTCTCGGGAAAAGAAAATAAAATAAAATTATTGCTACAACTAATATCTATTATTTCTCAAACAAGTTGTCAAGATTGATCTAGATCGCCCGAAGGTAAAGCATTTGATTGTGCGTAAAAAATTGTTTTGGGATGGCGATAAGGGGCGGGAGGTACTAAAAAGGGGAAAATGTATGGCCAAAACGGGAAACAAAAAAGATTGTTGGTGATAAATGGCTGGGTATGGTGCCTTTAATATAGATGAATTATTTATTGTAAGTTTACTCAATTTATGTAAATAAATAGGTTAATATATTAAAAATAAAATAAATTATATTTTTGTTTTTGTTGGTAAATTTCGTCCTTGTCCTGGTGAATCCGGTACAATTTTTCACTTGTATAACAGACTGAGACGGATTACGATGGTGCGCAACTTCCGGTTTCTACGTCAGCGTCGCTGATACATGGATGAGCAAGATCCTGGAATTAATTTCTTGTCACGGCTATATTTCATTATTCTAGTCGAGTTGTTAGAAGTTTAGGTTTGTTTAATATCTAGCCCGGTGGGGTGGATGGGGGCGGGGGGTGTCTTTGGTAGAAGAACATGGGTAAAGCATGCAGCATCCGAGGACGTCTCCTATGTCACGGTCTAAGGACGTCTCTCGTGTCACGGTCTGAGAACATCTCCGGTTTCACGGTCTGATGACGTCTCCTGTGTCACGGTCTGAGGACATCTCCTTTGTCGCGGTCCTTTGACGTCTCCCGTGTCACGGTCTGAGGACGTCTCCTGTATCGCAGTCTGAGAACGTCTCCTGTATCGCAGTCTGAGAACGTCTCCTGTGTCGCGGTCTGAGGACCTCTCGTGTCCTGTATCGCAGCCCAAGGAGGTCTCCAGTCTTGTTAAAAAAATAATAGATCTAAATCTCGTGGTGCTAGAATGATTCACGGTCAAATCGGAGTCCAGCTCTCTGTTTCTTTTTTTCTCTTCCTCTGAACAGCTCGTTTGTCACCGGAAACAACCAGGGCGGTAACTAGCTCAGAGCAACGGGGGGGGGGGGACTGGAAGTGTTATCAGCAGTGTTGTAAAATTGACGGACAATGTATATCTATGGTCGATAATTATTTCATAGGGGGGCAGAACGTTTTGCCCCCCCCCCCCCTCCGCCCAGTTACGGGCCTGGAAACAACCATCCATGGCTGCAACCTGACGAAGCTTGCTGGAACCCACGCCGTTGTTCTCAGTAAGTACATAATAAATACAACATCAAATCGACATTTTTACTAATTGTATTGGTTTCCTGCGCATTTCGAAGGTGGTTAATTCCTGCCAGATTGTGCCTGTTTATCTTGGTTAGTGCTTGCTAACAGCTAAGGCCAGCTCTATTTGTCACGAGATGCAAACTAATCCTAACCCTAACCCTGGACCCAGCCCCAATGCCTACGCTAACCCTAACCTACAGTCTCGCCAACAATCACGTGCCCTAACCTTGGCGCAATTTTTTTGGTCTCATTTTTAATTGTTTTGGGTCTGATTTTCTTTTTTTGTTGTGTTTTTTTATTTATTTATTTTTTTTTTTTCAACGTCTGTCTTATCGCCGTAACAACCAGACGAGAAAATAGACAAAATATTAATGTTTACGTTATCGAATTGTGAAAAATTGTCAAAATGTCACAGAACTGGGACTTTATTTGTTTGCTTTTTGTAAATATGTTAAAGTTCATTGTACAAAGTTAATACGCTGTACGGTCACAGATGCGTCTTACACTCTGGTATTGTCAGACAAAAATTGTTTAAAATATATCCTATTTCATCTGTTTTTTGGTAAAAGTCCATTGTTCTAAATCCCGTTGTTGTACCAGTTTATCAGAGATATGACCGTTTTATCAGATACTTTGAAATTTTCAAAAAAAATTGAAGCCATATTTGGTTAGTTTTATGTTTTAAATCCCTCGAATATAATGTATCGTATATCCGTGAAATATTCTAAAAGTTTGAGTCGGGCTGTTTACATAATATTAATCACGTCTGAGTCTCGTAAAAATATGAGAATGTAAAATTTTTGTGAACGAAATATTTGAATGGGGAATAATTACTAAGTGATACCGACTTTCTTCAAATATTTGTTTACTTAGAGAAAAATGTGAAATTGTAAATTATTTTTTAGAATTTAGAAACCATGTAGTTGTTTTTAATGAAACGTCTATGTAGAATCTATTTTCAAACGACGAGCAACTGTTGAAGAAAATCGAAACAAATGAAATGAAATGAAATGAAATGAAATGGGGTTTAACGTCCTACTTTTCTGCTCCTATACTGGGCTAATGAAGACGGGCATACGCCATACAGTGTGCTATGAGGGAAATTTTGCCCGGGCAGCGGCGCATTCCATTGTATACACGGGACCTCGGTTTTTCCTCTCATCCGAAGAACTAGACAGCTGTCCTTGTCAGGCCCTCCGTCCTGCATCACTGACAAGGGGAAACCACGTCGGAAAATCAAGATGAACTTTCTCGGCCAATGCGAAACAAATGATCGAGTTGTTACCAGAAATGTCAGTATAAATAAAACACAGATACTATTTCATTTCGGAGGGTTGGATGGCAGAATGTTTAGCGCGTGGGCGTTGTATCATAAGGTCTGTCATTGAGTCAAATGGTTTCGATTCCCCGATTGTACGTAACAAGGAGTAAGGTTGCCTGTTCAACCTCGTGGGTATGACAGGCGACCCTACTCTTTGCACATAGCTTAACATATAATAAACCAATTTCCATTGAAAAAAGGGTGAAACTTTAACGCATAATTATTTGATTTGATAAGACCCAACTGCTACCGAAATTTCTGTTCATTTAAAATGGCTGTCGAGCCCGAATCAGAACACGCACGTGATTTCACGTCATCTCGAAAATACAGATAAACTGTTCAGTAAGATAAGATAAAGATTTCAGTGTTCCACTCTTCACTATTTGTAACATAATTACGTATTTCCATGCAAATGTGGTGATGTGTGTTGAAAATTTTGCAATTGTACCTAATTTAACTTGCACAAAGCCTCGAATAGTGTAACAATTGTAGCCGTAAATAAGACAATTATCACAGCTACAAATATTGCAGTTATATTCGAATAGCAACGTCTTGGGCCACTGACAAGGGGGTAACCGCGCCGAAAAATCACGGGGGGGGGAACTTTCTCGGTCAAAACCTGGATCGAATCGGGACCTGTAGGTTATTGAGGAATCGCCCAGTCACTGAATCATCGTGGCCCCTTTTATCAGTAGAGAGAGAGAGAGAGAGAGAGAGAGAGAGTTTAACGTCCACTCGACACAAACTAGGTCATTTCGGGACTAACGTATGGTTTAATTTTATTTCAATAAACCCACGAGGTTGGACAGGCGACCCTACTCCTTGTCACGCACAACCGGGGAATCGAAACCACGCCAATTGACTCAGTGACAGACTTTATGATACAGCACGCACACGCTAACCATTCAGCCATCCAACCCCCTTTAAACAGTGGATATAGCGGGGACTGGACATGATAGTTAAATTGTTTTACCACAGGAAGAATGTGACGGTTATAATTGAAGTAGAGTTATTAGCCCTGTCATTGTTTGATCGAAGGTGTTTACTAGCATACCGTCATGGCGTGGATTCCTCCACTTTAAAGGGAGATTATCACTCACAACAAGAAAATAACAGTATCCGATTATGCAGATTACCCTATTCGAACGGTTTAAAGGGAAATTATTACTAGCATAGAGCCATTACCACCTTAAAGGGAGATTTGCACTCACAACAAGAAAATGAATGTAACTAATTTTGCAGGTTTCCCTATTTGAACGGCGTAAGGCAGTCTTACGGGGGGGGGGGGCAGTATAATACAGAAAATACGGTGTAGTATTATACAATATTGTACAATATGGTTTCGATTCCCCGGTTGTACGTGACAAGTCGTAGAGTCGCCTGTCCAACCTCGCGGGTTTTCTACGGGTCCCCCGGTTTCCTCCCACTGCTAATAACCCCAACGAGCAAGGAAATAGTTGAAATAAAATTGAACAATATGTTAGTCCCGAGACAATCTGGTTAAAACACAGATCCTATTTCGTTTCGTTTTTATAGTTCAAATTTTGTTTTTACTTGTCTTTACTACATGTAGTGTAGGCCATCGAAAGTATAAAAAAAACGAAACAAAATATAGATCTATTTTAACCAGATTGGTCCCGAGATGACTTTGTGTGTGTCTTACTTTTATTTAATTTTAGAATACCCGGTTTCCTCCCGCTGTTAAAGACCCCTACGCAATTGAACAATATGTTAGTCCCGGGATGACTTTGTGTGAGTCTTACTTTCATTTAATTTTAGAACACCCCATATCACCTCTTAGTTATCTGTCGAGTTTACATAGCTGTATTGCACGGTTTATTTATGAGGTTAACGAGAGAGAGAGAGAGAGATGGGGTTTAACGTCCACTCGACACAGACTAGGTCATTTCGGGACTAACATATGGTTTAATTTTATTTCAATAATTCGCACGCGCGTAGGGGTCTTTAGCAGTGGGAGGAAACCGGAGGACCCGGAGAAAACCCCCGAGCTTGGAAGGCAACCCTACTCCTTGTCACGTACAACTGGGGATTCGAAACCACGCCAGTTGACTCAATGGTAGACCTTATGATACAGCACGCACGTGCTAACCATTCGGCCACCAACCCCGCCATGATGTTAACAGAATAGTAATGGCGTCATATGACAAGAATGGCGGGTTGTTGTCGGTAGACAAACACGGTTAAACTAAACACCCATGTCTCCAGTTAATCTAAATCAAATAATCCCATGTTCATTAATTGTTTAATAATCCCTTTAATCCCAATCTATATTTATTCATCACCTGTTTTAATAGGGAAATGTTTCTAGTTGATGTTTGTATTATGGTACAATGGTAATCTGTTAACTATGTGAACTGCAAGGAATGACATGGAATGGAATGAAATGAAATGGAAGAGAGGGAGAGGAGGGTTTAACGTCCACTCGACACAAACTAGGTCGTTTTGGGACTAACATATGGTTCGATTTTATTTCAAAAAATCGCTTGCATGCGCATAGGGGTCTTTAGTACTCTTTAGCAGTGGGAGGAAACTGGAAGACGCGGAGAAAACCCACGAGGTTGGACAGGCTATCCTCCTCCTTGTCACGTACAACCGGGGAATCGAAATGAAATGAGGTTTAACGTCCTACTGTTCTGTTCCGACTGGGCTAATAAAGAGACGGGTTACGCCATAGTACAATGTGCTATGAGGGAAGTAGTTGGAATTCGGGGGAAAAGTACGCGAAAATGCCGCTGTGTGGACAATATCCCCACCCCTTTATAGGTGTGTGTGTGTGTGTGTAGGGGGGGGGGGGGCGATGGCTGAATGGTCAGCGCGCGCTACATCATAAAGTCTGTCGTTAACTGGCGTGGTTTCGATTCCCCGGTTGTACGTGACAAGGAGTAGGGTCGCCTTTCCAACCTCGTAGGTTTTCTCCGGGTTCCTCCCACTGCTAAAGGCCCCTATGCGCAAGCGGATTATTGAAATAAATTGAACCATATGTTAGTCCCGAAATGACCTAGTCTGTGTCGAGTGGACGTTAAACCCCATTTCTCTCTCTCTCGTTAACAACATAAATGAAACATATGTTAGTCCCGAAATGACCTAGTTTGTGTCGAGTGGACGTTAAACCCCATCTCTCTCTCTCTCTCTCTCTCTCTCTCTCTCTCTCTCCCTCTCTCTCTCCTCTTTAAGAATTGTACACGTAAACATATAAATGAACTTAGGCCTGCGCGTAGGGGTCTTTAGCAGTGGAAGGACCCGGAGAAAACCCACGAGGTTGGACAGGCGACCCTATTCCTTGGTACGTTCAACCGGGGAATCGAAACCCCGCCAGTTGGCTCAATGACAGACCGTATGATACAGCACGCACGTGCTAACCATTTGGCCATCCAAATGTAAAAGAAAGGATCTTTTATGGTAAAGAGTATAGTGTATACCATGGGCAGCACATCGAAGTTCCCTGACCTTTGATAATCGAAATAAAAAAAGGGACAATGTACAGTCATTCGGATGTCCGGGCAAAATATCCCTCATAGCACACCTCATGGCGTTTGTCCATTTCCATTAGTCTGGTCGGTGCAAAAATTTAAGACGTTAAACCCATTCCATTACATTTTACATTTTAAACATACATTATGGGAGATTAGATAATGAGCTGGCAGTTCTCACTATAATAGTTAAAAACTATTATTTTAAACATACATTATGGGAGATTAGATTAAGAGCTGGCAGTTCCCACTATAATAGTTAAAAACTATTATTTTAAACATACATTATGGGAGATTAGATTAAGAGCTGGCAGTTCTCACTATAATAGTTAAAAACTATTATTTTAAACATACATTATAGGAGATTAGATAAAGAGTTGGCAATTCTCACTGTAATAGTTAAAAACTATTATGTTAAACATACATTATGGGAGATTAGATAAAGAGTTGGCAATTCTCACTGTAATAGTTAATAACTAGATAATGTAAAGGCAATTTGCTGAAAATTTCAGTCAAATTGATCCACTCTGAACCGAGATTTTTACGATTGAATTTTCGGCCTCGTCTCGATCATCATTACTAAAGTCGATACGATAAAAAAACATAGTCTCGATTATGTATCGCATGAATAAATCATGAATGAAAGTTGGGCAGCAAATGGGATTCTAATCCAGTAAATATCGCAGGCTAGCGTTGAAATCGAGAGTTGATTATGGTCTGGATAAGTTAATTAATGTCTAATAAATAATTTAGAAAACATTTCAGGCCTTACGAAAGACCTGCGATAGGCAGATTTAGCTTGTGCATAATGTATGTTTAAATCTCTGTAGCCACGATTGTCATTGTCATTGTCCATTATCCATTTTTGGGTTTAATCTTCAACGGACGTTGAACAGCAAATCGGATTCAAATCCAAAGAAAATCGGACACACAAGATGGCCAGGTCTAAAGAAAGGCCTGCAATAGACAGATTTACCTCTTGCATAATGTATGTTTAAACGAAATTAACTCTTAGTTATCGTAGCTTCTGTGAATTTATAGAAACCCACACTTCAATATTGATCGTTGTCCAGAGTTGCATTCGTCCATTTAAAAAGATCTATGATGAGGTCGAATTGTGGTAAGTTTTGCGGTCCACGAGTTCTAACATTATAGTGTTTTATATTTTAAACGATGAAGAAGTTATTTATCTGCTTCGTGTTTTGTGTGGTATGCGAAGGTTTCCCGTATCCTGCGAATTTGGAATGTTATGCTTCTAATAATTGTACGCTACCCAAATGTCGATGTATGGGAATCGATATTCCTGGGGGCTACACCAGAATAGAGACACCTCAAATGGTAGTCATAACATTTGATGACGCCAGCAATTGGGAGAATTGGGATTATTACCGCTATCTTTTCCCGCTAGATGGGAGTCGTGTGAATCCAAACGGGTGTCCGATCGCCATGACGGTCTTCGTGTCAAATAATTATACAGAAACTTCACGCCCGGGGAATGGAAATAGCCGATCACAGCTACACTCACAAGTTACCTCGTCTGTGGTGGGCCAATGCTAGTAAGGAAGAACTGGCATACGAAATCTTAACTCAGAGACAAACCTTGGCAACCCATGCGGGTACACCAATATCGGGCATAAGGGGATGGCGGAGTTCTTTCTTGCAGCCTGGTGCAGATAAAATGTTCGAGATGTTGTCAGAGCATAATTTTACTTTTGATGCCAACATGTCTCATCCCCTCCCAGGGCCGGCGGAAGCAATTCTTGATTGGGGGGTTTCCATCCTAGGTCCTTATAGGTGTGGGTCCAGGGGCCGCAATAACCTGGAGAAAAGAGTACTTGCGGCCAAATTATTGGGGGGGGGGGGCTAAAGCCCCCCTAGCCCCCCCCCCCACTCCGCCGGGCCTGCCTCCCTCTGGATTCTTACTCACAGGTAGGTAATTTGGCCCTTTACCCTGGATTACCGCTTCAATACCGTTTGTCATATAGATCCCTGTCCCGCGAATACCTACCCAGGTTTCTGGCTCCTGCCTGTGGTCATCGTCATGGGCTATCTGGAGGAGAAGTACTGCGTCTACATCGATTCTTGTGAAAACCAAAGGACGAACATCAAGGAGTCCTTTCACCTGCTTTGGAAGAACTTTTTAAGGAATTATAGAACCAATCGAGCCCCCTACCACGTCAACCTCCACTCGTCATGGTTTAAGCAGGATTTTAATCTTAAGGCTATGGATAAATTTATCCAACATCTGCTGACGATGGATGACGTGTACATCACAACCGTTACCAAGACTTTAGAGTGGGTCAAACATCCGACTCCATTATCACAACTAAAGGACTTCGACCCGTGGAAATGTAATTACAAGTCGAATCAAGAGGATGACGCCATTTGTACAATGACCTGGAATAAGAAGAAGTTACGGTTCCGATTGCTTCCGACTTCGAAAGAGTCTGTGCTGTTCTTCTTTATCTGTGTGACGATAGTTGCACTGACAATAAAATACTACAGAAAGGTTTGTTGGTTGGCAGTTCCAGGATTGAATACCGGAAAGTGGGAATTGAGTGGAATGGTTGATAAAGTTGCTTAGCGAAGTGAGGATAAATTAATTCGCTAGGGTTGTGTATATATAAGTATATCAAAAGACAGTAAAATAAAATGGAACACCCAAACACAAATAACCTGTTTTATACACCCGCATTACAGGCAAGGTGTATACTGTTGTGACCCTTGTCCGTCAGTCCATTCGTCAATGATTCACGTAAACTTACTGGGATAGGCTGGCTTCAATTTATGTAGAGTTATGTCCCTTAACTTTTTGTCACTCAAATCCTCGGCATTTCTGTTTGATGTGACCAATATTCAAGACCATATTCCTAACCCTAAATAAAAGGGAGTCAGGTCAACCATGTCGCCAAATCATTATCCGGATATCGCCCTCATGACATCAACGACAGACTATCGGCATTTAGGAGACGATGACCATCCATACTAAACTTAGGCGGCCTGTCTACAGTTAGCTCTGCTGGAGAACAGACACTAAACTAGTTGACCGACATTTTAAAAGTCCAAAATCGAAGATTTTAGTTGAAAACACGAAGGATACTTGGAGATTTGTGAGAAGTATTTATTCTGCTTCCATTTGATAGAATTGAATAGGTTTATTAAAGTTATTGTGTGTATGACAGATATGAAACGGAGTAGAACCTCATTACAAAACAATGTACTCATTTTTGGATATGGCGGTCATTTAAAGGGACAATAACACTCTTGCTGGCTTGAAAGCTCCAGAAAATAAATAATATCTCTATCTAAGTACTAGATGTTTAAGTGTCCTACCTGTTGTGTAAATTATCCATTACATCCTATTTTACTTGTCCAGAGGGTTCGAAAATATTTTTAAATCGAAGTTTCATTTGAAAAGGTTTACGTTAGACGTTTCAAACCATTATGTTGAATTTTTCAAAATATTTAAATAAGGTGTGTTAAGATGAAATTTGTATCATCAATTAATTGAAATATTCTAAAATAGTACAATTTGTTGACCAGAATAAAGATTGGGACATATTATTCAGTTACAACAAGAGTCCTATTGAGCCTTTAAAGGGACGGATCTATTTTCGAAGTATGAAGAAGATGGATCTCTGTGTGTAGAATGGATGGCCACCGTCAAAACCTGTCACATTATTTCTATTACATCTTTCTTTTAAATTATTTAAAGCTGCAATTTCATATTTTTAAATTATATTTTTAAATTTTATTAAAATAAAGCCTTAAAATAGATGGTACCCATAAACCGTCCTACCTTGTTAAATAATAATCCTATTAATCCTATAATTCAGCTGAGAAATTGACAAAAATATCATTTTCAAGTTCAAATTCCAAAGTTTGAAGGTAGCTAATGCATGGAGGCAATAGGAAAACAAGGGAGGTAATTGTGTTATTATTTCCGGGGTCAAGGATTTATAAGTGGAAGAATGATACCTATGATCGTATAATAGTGAGTTGATAACCTATTGAGCAAAAGACATAGAAATAATTATGTTTTGACTTTCTTAGAAAATATGAAATTCTCGCTTTAAGATGCATTATGTAAGAGCTAAATCTGCCTATTCCAGATGATCGATGCTAAATGTAGGTCGGTTGGGGAAATTCGGAAATTCCCAGAGTCCACAATAGCCGCTTTATAGGTCAATAAAAGAGTATTTTGGGAAATACTAACCCTAACCCTAGAGGGGTAAAAGGTAAATTGGAACCAAGTTCAGCCCTCTAAAAAGGGTTAGTGTTAGTATTCCCCAAAATACCCATTTATATGAAGCGTCCATTGTTGACTCTGGAAATTCCCGAACCTACCCAACCGGCCTACAATTAGCATCTTCTGATGCTAAAGTCTTGCTTTGACGTCATCTTTTGTGTAGTTAATCCCTGGTAGAATGTATGACTGATCTTTAATATCACTCACAAACAGTCCCTTATTAAGACAAAACTATTCATTACTTTATAGTTTTTTGGACAGTTTCCGTTAATAATGGACACTTTTTGTTAAGTATGGACACTTTTTGTTAATAATGGACACCTTTTGTTAATAATGGACACTTTTTATTAGCTTGCGCGTAGGGTCTTTAGCAGTGGGAGGAAACCGGAGGACCCGGAGAAAACCCACGAGGTTGGATAGGCGACCCTACTCCTTTTCACGTACAACCGGGGAATCGAAACCACACCAGTTGACTCAATGACAGACCTTATGATGCAGCGCACTAACCATTCAGCCATTCAACACCCCTTTTTATTAGAAAGAAGAGCAAACAAACAACAATGAAATCTATGAATCGTAATTTTACTTTAATTTAGTAAAAATTTTAATTCACACCATGGGAATTACTAATCCAAATTTTACACGGAATGAGAAGTTGTTCGTAGAGATTATTAGCAGTGGGAGGAAACCGGAGAAAATGCACATGGTTGAACAAATGACCATACTGATTGCCACATACATGTCAGTCTGCTTAAAATACAGATTACCTTACTGGTTGTCACAACGTACAAGTCAATCTGATTTAACATACATTATGACGTCACATTAATAATGACGTCATTGTATTAATCATATTAAACATACATTATGCAAGAGCTAAATATGTCTATTACAGGTCTTTCTTTAGGCCTGAAATCTATCTATACTAATATTTGTGAAGTTTGTCTGTCTGTTTGTCTGTCTGTTCGGGGTTGACAGCTACACTTGGTCTGCCCCGAGTCTGAAATTTGGGGTATAGGGGTAGCTCGGACCGGGGAGTAACATAGGCCAGGTGGCGTTAGTCTACCACTTTCGGTTTCAGGGTTATGACCCCCGAGCGAAGCCGGGCATTCTTCTAGTGTTATATAAATTATTAAATAGACATTAATTAACATAACAAGACCATAATCAACTCTAGATGGCATCGGATACTCAAGATTTTAACTAGATTAGAACGGTTCGCCATTTATAAATTTAATTTAAAAATGGGAAAGCGAGGCTAATCTCGAATATACCAGTGCCCTGGTTACCACTATGCACACATCTTGTCAACACTACAAACATTGATAACTTGGCTCTAAATTAAGTAATTTGAATGAAATTTTCAATATTTACATCCCACTGTCCTGTTTTTTTGCTATGCATGAATAAAAGTATCCGAGTATCAGAAATGTACAAATAGAGAACTGTCCATTTCTGATATACGGATACTTTCATACCGTTTTAGATATCTATCAAGCAATAAGTAGCGGACGTTTTGTCCGATCCAGATCGCAATTGAAATTTATGACTATATTTTTTGTACGTGAAACAACTAGTCAAAATCATAGTAACAAAACAAAATGGGGGGAACTACATGGCAGTTCAAAAACATATACAATGACATTAAATTAACATAACAACATATTACAAAAATCAATTATTATACATACCAATTGGCATCTATTTCATAATTTGGTTTGATATATATTAATATACAAAATATATAAATTAGAATATTGAATAATTATTTTAATTAATTGTGATGATAGAAGGCGCAGTTCTCTTGCTGGACACTTCACAGGCATTGAAAATAAGCAGGATGAAAAAAAAAACGCCTCGAAAGTCATAAACTTTATTACAAATAAATTTCAACGGAAGAACCATCCGCCGATGCATACTTTCACCAGGAATGACCCACGTTTCGCATTTCCTTTACACTACATTTAATAATATCGCAGTCCTCTACGCCATAGACAAGTTGTTTTGACGATGTGGTCTAAACAAACACGTGATTGTTTTACGCTCAGAGTATCATAGCAAGACGCACGTGTAAATACTACTCAGGTCGTCTCTCCACTGCGAAATCATTCTACCATGAAATGTAACGTGAGGCTCGGAAAGGGATAAATAACGAAAGAGCAGAAAGTATTTGTCACTTTTCGGTTGAAACGACTCGATAATAAATACTATTTTTCACATTTTGCTTCACAATACTCGATAGAAATGTGATGTAAGTAACTTATTAGCACCTTTCCTCGGTGTTTTGGTCGGGAGCCGCCTCGGCTGGGCCCCTCGACCAAAACTGTCCTGATATTCACCGATACACCTCGGAAAATGTGCTAATAACTACCACTTACATTATCTATTTTTGAGCTATTATAGCAAGAATAGCTAGCTCTTTATCTAAATCTTACATAGTGTATCTTTAAAATACAAATCTATTTTTTTTTCTTTTTCTTTTATACTTTCATGAAGACAAGTAAAATGAAATTAAAAAAAACGAAACGAAATAGAATCTGTGTTTTAATCAGATTGTGTACAAACTGGGAATCAAAACTATGTCACTTGACAGAGCTTATGATCTAAAGTGGTTGGCCCCACTCCCTTTCTTCCTTAAGCACGTGTAATAGTTTATTATTCTATTCATTCACTAAATGCCCCAATACAATAAAATGGAATGGGGTTTAACATCCTACTGGTTCTGTTCCGACCGATCTAATAAAGTGCACACGTTAAACCACTCAGCCCCCACCCCCTTTCTTCCATAAGAGAGAGAGAGATGTGGTTTAACGTCCACTTGACACAAACTAGGTCATTTCGGGACTAACATATGGTTTAATTTTATTTCAATAATTCGCTTGCACGTAGGGGTCTTTAGCAGTGGGAGGAAACCGGAGGACCCAGAGAAAACCCACGAGGTTGGACAGGCGACCTTACTCCTTGTCACGTACAACCGGGGATTCGAAACCACGCCAGTTGACTCAATGACAGGTCGTATGAAACATGCACGTGCTTGCTAACCATTCGGCCATCCAACCTCCCTTTCTTCCATAAGCCTATGTTAGTGTTTATTATTGTATCCATACACTGAATGTCTCAATTTTTGTTTTCAAGTAATAATTAAAACTATAAAAATATCACAAAAAGTTTATTATTTTTTTTCCATGTTAATGTACATATACACCCTGTATAATATATATATATATTAAAATCTGATTGATTTAAAGTGCTGTCTAACAGATGAACACTAAGATTCTTATAACACGCTTGACCCTTTAGCATTTATACCACCTTAAATAGGGCTCCTTAGGATCAACCAGTCACATGCACAGCCCCCCATCTCCCATGAAGTAGTAAATGGAGGCTAAATCTCTCTGTTAAGGCCAGATCAATTTTTGTCAAGGTCACTGAGATGTAAATATCGTTACAGAACGTGATTGTTGGCGAGGTTGTAGGTTAGGGTTTGGGTAAGCATTGGAGGTAAGTCTAGGGGTTGAACGTCCACTCGACACAAACTATGTCATTTCGGGACTAACACATGGTTCAATTTTATTTCAATAATTCGCCTGTGTGTAGGGGTCTTTAGTAAAACTGTAGCACCCGGAGAAAACCAACAAGGCTGGACAGGCGACCCTACTCCTTGTCACGTACAACTGGGGAATCGATACGACGACAGTTGATTCAATGCCAGACCTTATGATACAGCGTGCAGGATACCCAACCCCAAAGGCAGGGCTCACACTGTCGGTCACCAAGTCGCAATTTGCAATAAAAATATGAGTGGTGATTAAAATTTGATTCTGGCGATAATTTTGGAGATAATGTTTTGCGATACTGGCGATTCTTTTTGAGAAGTTAAGGGTTAGGGTTGGGATTAGTATTAGCTCTGTTTATATCTCGTGACCTATGATGAAGAGCTGTTAATGGACCTATAATAGGACTAGCTATTCATATATTTTTCTGGCTGTTTGAGGAAGAGTAGTTTTAGTTTGTTCAGAGATGTCCTGGTATTAATATATCAATTCCTCTGATTTACTGACGAACTTTCTGCACCAACTGGGCTAATGAAGACGGGCATACGTCATACATACAGTGGGCTAAGAATGAAATTTTGCCCGGACTGCGACACTACAGCCTACTATTATATCAAATTCCTACTGTCAATGGTTCTTTAACATGCACGACAATGTGTACTCGGACCTCGGTTTCTCGTACCATCCAAAAGACTATACGTTTTCCCTTGCCAGGTCCCTCCATGCTGCACCAGTGACAAGGAGCCACACTAGAAAACCTGACGAACTTTCTGGGAGAACACCTCAATAGTCGGAAAAGGTATGATTTGTTAAATCATACAGGGGTCAAGGACTGTCAAGTTTATCGACATGGCATGTACTGTGATGTGGGTTAGTGCTAAATGATAAGGCCAGCTCAATTTTTTGTGTCATAGGTCACGACATGTAAACGGGGCTAGGGCACAAGATTGTTGCCGAGGATTGTGGGTAAGGCTTAGTGTAAGGTGTAGGGTTACAGGTTAGCGCTAGCCCTGTTTACATTTCGTGGCCTTGCAGAAATTATGCATTTGACCTTGTCAAATATATCTAACCGTATCAATAAGTGTCAGACCCTTTGAAACAGGAAATGAAAAATAATAATAAAATGCCCACAATGATACATAGTAATTAGTAGCATATTAATGACATCCGTATTTACATCTTTATTTATACATCATGAAATATTCCAAGGATCATAATGAGAAATTTCTTTGGACCATGAAATATTTGCAGTATTAGTTAATGCCAACTCAACAAATTTTTTGACCCGCTCCCAAGAAACCAGCTGTCCTTGTTAGGCCCTCCATCCTGCTCCACTAACAAGGGGAAACCACGCCAGAAAATCCTCATGAACTTTCTCTGCCAACACCAGGATCGAACCCGCGACCTGCAGGGTAGTGAGACAGCATATTACTCAGTCACCGTTTCTTCCTAGTCTTCATCGAATTCCATCTTTGGGGGATTGGATGTTTAGTGAAGTGAAATGAAATGGGGTTTAACGTCCTACTGTTCTGCTCCTAAACTGGGCTAATGATGACGGGCATACACCATACAGTGTGCTATGAGGGAAATTTTGCCCGGGCAGCGGCACTACGGCCTACTCTTATATCGAATTTCAACTGCCAAGGGATCTTTTTTGTGCACACCAATGTGTGCACGGGACCTCGTTTTTCCGTTCCATCCGAACGACTAGACAGCTTTCCTTGTCAGGCCCTCCATCCTGCATCACTGACAAGGGGAAACCACGCTGGAAAATCTGGATGAACTTGCTCGGCCAATGCAGGGTAGATCGAACACCCGACCTCCAGGCTAGCGAACCAGCGTCTTACCCACTTAGCCAAGTGATCCCCAGATGTCTAGTGGTTTAGTGCATGCGCATGTGATCAAAAGGTCCATCATTGAGTCAACTGGCGTGGTTTCGATTCTCCAGTTGTACTTGTGTTTTCTCCAGGTCTTCCAGTTTCCTCCAACTGCTAAAGATCCCTATGCGCAAAAGAAGTATCGAAATAAATTTGAACAATGTTAGTCCCAATATTTCCCAACCACTGTTAAAAAATAACATCTATATTAATATCAACAGGTTTCAACAAAATAATTTCCTGTGTAGCTTTAATATGATGCCCATTAGTATCACTTTGAATATAGGAGAGATGTTTATATAGGGTATGCCCGTTCCTCAGTCCCTTTCAATTACTGAATAAAACATAATTAGCGTGATAGTTTTGTCGGTGGCCCCTGTGACTGTATAAACAACTCATGACAAATATAGTGAGAGTTATTATAATATTTACAGAGATATCCTTACATACATTATTATTATTATATATATCTATAAAGCACTGAATTCATGACATGTATTTCATCAAGGACCTGCTGCACCAACAAACAAAAACAATGAGAAATGTTATCCAATGTTCTAGAAATAATGTGTTAGTTACAGGAACTCCTCAAATGAGACGTGATATAAGGTGTTCCAGAACCAATAAGCGTTAGTTACAGGAACTCATCAAGTGCTACAAGGTGTTCCAGAAACAATAAGTGTTAGTTACAGGAACTCATCAAGTGCTACAAGGTGTTCCAGAAACAATAAGTGTTAGTTACAGGAACTCTTCAAGTGCTACAAGGTGTTCCAGAAACAATAATGTGTAAGTTACAGGAACTCATCAAGTGCTACAAGGTGTTCCAGAAACGATAAGCGTTAGTTACTGGAACTCCTCAAATGAAAAGGGATATAAGGTGTTCCAGAAACAATGTGTTTGAGAAGTCATATCAGGTGTTCTTGAAACAAGGTGTTAGCCGTGCGAACTTTCCAAATGAGAAGTGGTATCAGAAAGTATAAGCATACCCTGCCTGTTAGATTGACGTGCGTGTGCAACAAGGACCTCCATGTATATATATATATACATAACAAATACATCTTCAAACATGTACATTTAAAAAAAAAAAAAAAAAAAAAAAATTCAAAAAAATCCCAAATACATGTATACGAAAAAACACAAATATATATAATATTTAAAAAATCATTAATCGCAGACATAATATACAAATTATATAATTTGAAACTTAACATTTTAATAATTAATTTCTATCTCTGAATGGTCTACTACTACTGCACCAAATCTCCAGGAAATCAAAATCATTACTTGACTTTAGATCAGTGGATTATGGATAATTAACAAAATATTTAAACATTATGAAAAATGTAAAATTTAGTTTTTGCCTTAAAGTTGCTGATCGACATTTAGAGGGATTCAGAACCCCCTGAAAACCAAAATAAAGCGAAATTCGAGTCTGTAACATTAATATCAGCGCAAAAATGGTTCAATTCCGTTTCAATATTTACACAGATATAATCCAAATCGAAAATTTGTTAACAGCCTGCATCCTCTGACTACTATACATCCAAGCCAGGTATTGGATGATATATTGTGATGGGCCTCATCTAAATAGTTTGATGGGCCTCATTTAAATAGTTTGATGGGCCTCATTTAAATAGTTTGATGGAAATCATTTAAATATTTTGATAGGCCTCATTTAAATATTTTGATGGGCCATATTTAAATATTTTGAGGGCCTCATTTAAATATTTTGATGGGCCTCATTTAAATATTTTGATGGGTCCCATTTAAATATGGACCTCATTTAAATATTTTGATGGGCCTTAGTTGAATATTTTGATGGGAATTATTTAAATATTTTTATGGGCCTCATTTAAACATTTTGATAGGTCCCATTTAAATATTTTGGTGGGCCTCATTTAAATATTTTGATGGGCCTCATAAGTATTTGGATAGACCTCATTTAAATATTTTGATGGGTCCCATTTAAATATGGACCTCATTTAAATATTTTGATGGGCCTTAGTTGAATATTTTGATGGGAATCATTTAAATATTTTGATGGGCCTCATTTAAATATTTTGATGGGTTCCATTTAAATATGGACCTAATTTAAATATTTTGATGGGCCTCATTTATATATTTTGATGGGCCTCATTTAAATATTTTGATAAGCCTAATTCAAATACTTTGATGGGCCTCATTTAAATAGTTTGATGGGTCCCATTTAAATATGGACCTCATTTAAATATTTTGATGGGCCTCATTTAAATATTTTGATGGGTCCCATTTAAATATTGTGATGGGCCTCATTTAAATATTTTGATGGGCCTCATTTAAATACAACTGAATCCAAGTCACAAGATTAACTACCATGATATCTCGGTTCTGTTTTTAAAATCGGTTTCGACTACAATTTATCGTAGATTAAACCCATAAAGACAGAGATAATGTCATAATAATACAATCGACGATCAGCAGATGTAAAGTTGATCACAGTTAATTTAATTATAGAGATATTATTTTAATTGATAATTTCTTAATATAAAGATTCTTATCAGAACACAAAACATCGTTTTACATAAACCATGTAGATTTCAAATAGGAAGTTATCTATGAACATTATAATACCAACTAATTCTACAATGATTATCTCCCTTTGATATAAACCCCCAAATAAAAACAGATTACACAATCATAATAATACCCAATATCTATTTCATTTAAACTGATCAGGCTGGGTGGAAACGTAACATAGAATTTGTCACGAATTTGATATATTTAAACATTGAGAATTATGCGTTTGAAATTTGTGTTCTGTTGTTCTCTCTGTGGCCATCAAATAACATTTATGTAAATGGTGTTCAATGAATCAATGTAATGATGTTTACGTAAAAAATATTTAATCACAAATAAATATTATTATTTAATGGCCACAGAGATACTTCTCAATATTTAAATATATCAGATTTGTCCGTTCGCAAAAAACGGGACAAATTGATCTGGTGTGGAAGGCGGTCTAGAATCATTAAGCCTATTTGTTGAGAGGGGTCTTTAGTAATGATGATTGGGGTTAGGCCTAAAATTCAATCGCTATTACCTTGGTCCAGAGTGGATCAATTTGACTGAAATTTTCAGCATATTCCCTTTACATTATCTAGTTTTAAACTATTACAGTGAGAACTGCCAGTTCTTTATCTAATCACCCATAATGTATCTTCAATTAGACATTTATTAACAAAACAATCTAATCTTCCATAATGTATCTTTAAGGGAGTCACTAAGATTTGATACATGATGTACCATCAAAAATATTTGATAGAAATGTAGAGACATCGGGGGATTACTTTAACCACAATACTGACTTTATTTCAGCAGTGATGTGAGCAGGTTTTTAGAACAGATTAATACGCTTTAACAAATGTTCATTATTATATCTTATCGTGGTGTGGAAAAAATAATGGCACAATGTACATGTATGTGAAGAGTGAGTGTTTCCAAGTAGACTACTTTAATGAAGATGGGCATACACGATACAGTGTGCTATGAGGGAAATTTTGCCTAGACAGTGGCGCTACGGCCTACTCTTATTATCGAAATCAAACTGTCGAGATTTCTGGATAAGAAGACATGCATGCACAACCTACTCTTTGAATTAATATATTCAAACTAAAAACTATTTCATGTTTATGCATCAAATCAAAGAAGAACTTATCTTTTCAAAATTTTAAAACCATGGTTGTTTTACTTTTACTTGTCTAATTCAAGCCAAACATACACTTTTTACCTTTTGTTTAACAAGCTCAAGTTCGCGACAGTAGAAATACGGATTATTTACATCAACATAAGCCAGTCAAAGAAGAAAAAAAAAACAAATGAGAAAAATAAAATGAAAACAGAAAATTTTAGGTATTTTCACAATTGGATTAATATATCTATATACATGGTAAAATGCAACTAATATATATAAATCCCGATACGAGTTATTCCCCCTGATGCATCTGTTAATAAATATACTTCAATGTTTCCCGATCACAAAAATGTCCATTAGACATTACAGAGATAATTTTTTCTTTTAGTCTTTGTATTAAACAATAAACATTCGACCCCACACGGATGATTAAAACGGGACAACACCAGATTCATTTTGTTATAGATGAAATCACGGCCCACATTAGTTCGTTTGCTCCATCTTTCATTGTCTCCGTATCAAACTCTAAATCTAAAAGTTCTCTCACACGCTTCATAGCAACTTCATAATCATCATCAGACAACGGAGCAAAAGCATTTTCCAGGACATCAGATGCGTGGGCCAGGTATATAAGTGACAATATTCTTCTATCCATACGTTGCGGATCATTGGTCCAGCGACTTAAAACGGAATCTTGGACTTTCTTGATAAGACGCTGTTTGAATGTTGTGTCTGTAAGTGGATGAGTTGTCATATCAAAGAGTAAAAAGTTTTGTTTTTCTGTCGTACAGACTCCCTTCTCCACCAAATTTTTGGCTAATCTTTCCCGGACATTTCGTAGCTGATATCGTAATTTGAGAGGATTCCAGGTTTCACCTGAAAAAAGAAGAACAATTAGATTCAAAATTTAAACATACATTATGCAAGAGGTAAATCTACCAACTGCATGTCTTTCTTTAGGCCTGAAATGTTATCTAAATTATTAGACATTAATTAACTTATCCAGACCATAATCAACTCTCGATGTCAACGCTAGAATGCAATATTTATTGGATTATGATTCGATTTGCTGCCCAACTTTTATTCATGTTTTTTATCATACCGACTTTAGTAATGATGATCGAGGTTAGGCCAAAATTTCAACAGCTTAACCCGTGGTTCATAGTGGATCAATTTGACTGAAATATTCAGCAAATTCCCATTACATTGTCTAGTTTTAACCAAGCCTTGAAATAACTGCTAAGGTTCAGCCTGACATGATGTCAGGCTGAACTGATTTTCGGCCGGACATTTCAGATTTTCAGCCTGACAAATACTTTATAATATATATTAAACCAAAAAACTGTTGAAATTTACTATGTTTATATATTATTATACATACATTTATTAATAAAATAAATTGATGACTCACATACAACCTGGAGTTGTAAGTTTTTATATCTATATGGAATACAACTTTATAGTTCATATAATAATGTCATTATAATCTCTTTGATGGGGCTGGGGACTAAATCCTAAAAACTCTGATTAAGATTCAAATTTAACTAAAGAATAGACATCTTGAGTTGTCGTAAATGGTTCAGAATCTGCCAAGTCATTTTTGATCCACTTTTCTACGGTTCGTCACTTCGTGTTTGTAATTTTCGAACTGGTGACGGCGACGGCCCCCGTTTAGAAGTGTCTTTATGAGAGACATAAGACACAGTACCGGTCTTTGAATTTTCTGGAACGGTCCCACTAGCCGGGATATCCGTGTCCGAGGGTTGGGAAAAGTAAGAAGTTATTTTATTCGACATGTTTTCACGGCTCTTCTATTTACATTCACATCGGAAGTGTCCAACAAAGTGAGATATTTTCGTATAAAAAGTCTGCACCTAATTACATCCATAGTCAACTTGAACATTTTCTTGTAAACTAATTTTAAAATATTATTACTTTTATTACTAATAATTTATATAATTACATGTCATGTTAGGTGTGATTTAGAGCTAATCATATACGAAAGTAACGCAAAGCTAGCCAAGAGACTCGAATAACCAGTGTAAAAGAGCCGATTCTCAATATTATTCATTATTTTATCTTCACGCGACCGAGAGAGATACATGTATAAATAGTAATATTTTTACTATGACTCGGGTCGTTGATATAACCAGCGTAAAAGAGTCGATTCTAAAAATTATTGAAGATTTTATCTGCACGCGGCCGAGATATAAATAGTAACATTTTCACTATGACTCGGGTCATTGATATTTTTGGTCCTGGACTTTCGAGTCTAATAATAAATAGCGATCGACTCAAATATTTTTGACTTAATGTTTTACAAAAACACGGTCGGACAATTATGTCCGGACGAAAGGCAATTTGGCCTGTCAAAAGGGGTCAATTCGCCCGGACATTGTCCGTGTCCGGACGCTTATTTCAGCGCTTGGTTTTAACTATTATAGTGAGAACTGCCAGCTCTTTATCTAATCCCCATAATGTATCTTTAATTCTCGGTTCATAGTGGATCAATTTGACTGAAATTTAATTTTCAGCAAATTGTCTTTACATTATCTAGTTTTAACTATTATAGTGAGAACTGACAGCTCTTTATCTAATCTCCCATAATGTATCTTCATTTCAACATTATTTTTACATTACCTGTGTGTCTCTTTAGATACGTACATGTACGTTATCAGTGTTTTGACTGAATGTACATGTAAATAAAGGCCATTACTGCTTAAATGATGACCTCATGACATTTAGAGTAACAGAGGCATTGGGGGCACATGTAATCAATGTTTGGCAGTCTGAGACCTGATTGCCATGGAGTTATGTAATATATAGACTGTGATTGGTTGATTAAGAATGAACATCAATTGACATTGCAGTTTTCATAGAATCAGTAGTGTTACTAATTTAATGAAAAGAAACCTTTTCCAGATGTATAGAGCGAACTTAAAACGACCATATAAGTTTTGGTCATGTTAATCAGGGAGAATTTAACACCACGCTACTATGGAGACAAACGGACAGATATGTCGTGTGCTGTTAAATACCATCTAATTTGTTTTAAAATGAAACTATGAAAGATTCCCCTTTTCCAACTTTATTGGAATGGATAAATTAGACATTCAGTCATGTTAATCGGGGAGAAATTCACGCTACTATGGAGACAAACAGACAGCTACATGTATGTTGCTGCTGTTAAACAACATCTAATTAGTTCAAAATAAAACTATGAAAGATTCCCCTCTTCCAAATTTATTGGAATGGATAAATTAGACAAGACATTTTTCGCCAGATTTTTATAGATATTATTCTGATTTTATTTCTACTTGTCATTTGAAAATGTTACTAGGATTCGACAAGTAGACAAGTGTTATTTCGACACCTGATCTTTCTATGTATAATAAATGGATCGGTCGACAAGAACAATGGCGACCTGACAACAACACACACAGATGTGTACAGGTGTTTTATGTAATAGTCTTTAAAATATGTGAAACTATTTACTAAAAATCGGTAACTATACACTATATATATCCGTGAATACCTAGTAAATATATATAGAAGATCGGAAAAGACGTTAACTTGTAAGTGAGTTTTTTTCTGTAAAGTGAAGATATTGACCTATTTATAGATTGACAAGCAGGGTATATTGTTATAGTATAGTGTGACTGTATAACAAACCTGGGAGTTAAAGTGACTCACGCGTGTTGAACAGTATTAATAAAACTCATACCACTGCAAAAAATAATGTCGTCGGGCACTAGGGGAGCGTTTAAGAAAATAGATACTGATCAAAGAAGGCAAAGCCTCAACGCTACAGAAATGACAGATATGAACAATAAACTCACAATAATGAAAAATAATATGTTAACAAAAGATGATATTAAAACAATAGTAAGTGATATTACTAGTTCGGTCTTGTTAAGCTTCAAGGAAGAATTTAACGCAATTCACGAAAAACTTGATACTACACTGAAAGAAAACGAGCTTTTAAGGAAGGAAAATGATAAACTCAGGGCCGACTTTAATGAATTGAAGGAAACAAGCGAAACTGAGAGACAGAGAATAAACGAAGCCATAAGCATGGCTAATTACAACGAGCAATACTCTCGTAAAAACAATATCCGAGTATCAGGCATACATTTTCCCGACAGTGACGAACCTATGAAAGAAACATTCATGAAGTTTGTTCATAAGCATATTGGAGTTTCGGTATCACCAACTGAAATAACAGCCATTCACCCCCTCCCTTCCAGGAATTTCGATAAACCTAGCCTGATTTTAGTAAAAATGTCGAATTCGGAAGCCAAACGAAACCTAATGATACACAAAAAAATAGTAGCTGAAAAAAACGTGAAATTTACTGACGACATTACCAAATCCAATCTGAGTTTAATGAATAGGGCTAATAACATGGACTGTGTAGAAAAATCGTGGTATTACAATGGTCAGGTATATGCAAAATCTAAAGGAAGAGTAAAAATCAAGATTAACTTATTCGAAAATTTTCGAGACAAACTCATGTCAGCCCCTTTTGACCAAAGAAGACAGTCAACGGATCTTTAAAGCATGATGTAAATATTATTGTTGACACACGCCTCGTACATGACCATGCATTGACCCAATTCGGTTATATGTACAAACACTAATAACCAGTCACAAATATTGTTACGCAAGTACGCTACAGACTGGAAATTTTGGACTAAAATATAATTTGTAAATACCAGTCACAGGCTTTTGTGATAATCATCCAACGAATATATTCAATTAGGTGAGGCTTCTCTCTTATCGAGGAAACCCAAGGGTGGTGGTGACTACGGTGGGACATCAAATATCGTATTCAGAGACACCACAAACACATCTCTTCACCAATATTCAATTATAACTACTAAAATAAGGACGAACTATTATATTTATATCGTTTATATATTTATATCATTTATGTATTTATATCATTTATGTATTTATATCATGTAATGTCATATATCATTATCACTAGATAGTGAATAAGAATAGGCATGCGCAATGGTATAATCAATACAAAATATAGATTGTGTTAATTATACTTATAGCATAAAACACCTTGTACACATCTCTCCAATTTAACAACCTAGGAGGATGAAGCGAACGCGAATTATAACAAACCAGTTTCAACAAGCACCATATAATATACACACATTAATATACAATCACATATACATTATTATTAAATATACAACCATGAAAAACCCCAATATTACCTTAAATAACATCTCGAAGATAATTTATAAAATACAATATTGTCCGTTAAAATGGCAGGAATAAGGGCACTCTCACTTAATGTCAGGGGACTTCGAAATAAACAAAAGAGAGAAAAAGTCTACCTATGGCTAAAAGAGCAAAAGGGTCAAATAATATTCTTACAAGAAACACATAGTACAAAGGAAGATGAAGACTTTTGGCAAGGAGAATGGGGTGGGACAATTTACTACTCTCATGGTTCAACAAATTCTGCAGGAACCTCAATACTATTCAATTCGAATTTTCAACCAAAAGTCATTAAGAGTATATCAGATGAAAATGGGTACTTTGTTATATTAATAATACAAGCTGAAGAAAAAATTACAGTTCTTGTAAATACATACAGTCCAACATCCGACAGTGATCAAAATGCTTATTTTAATAAACTACGTAATACACTTACAAAAACTCTTTCTAACCAAGAATATGATATAATATTTGTGGGAGGAGATTTCAATAATGTGTTAGATACAAACTTAGACAGAAGTGGGGGTAATTACAGAGTAAAATCCAAGGGATTAGCAGCTTTAAAAGAACTTATTAATGAATATGAATTAGTAGATATATTCAGAATACGAAAACCAAAACTGCGGCAATTTACATGG